ATGTGGATCAACTCGAGACGTACATTGACGAGTTTTCCTCCTCGAAACCTTAGGAATCCTCCGCAAGCAGGAACCACAAGTTGCCTGATGAATGGCAATACCTTATCGATAATGATGGTGCATGTATTTGTTAATTGTTAGTTATTGTGAAGGAAAAAAATAAATCCAAAAAAAAGTTGCAAAAGGCGCAAAGACTTTTCCGACAACCTAATAAATATGATATAATAATAAAATATGTATATACCCTACTGGGTCTGTTACCTGTACCATGAACTCACGTCCCGCTGCACTATCAATTATAGGAGCCACGATCCTACAGTGCGCTTCATAAGTATAAGATCACCCTCTAATTTGGTATTCACAGGATTAGCAGCCAAGCAGATGTCTTTCTGACACCACCATTGCATTCTTCACCTTCAATAACCCCTTATACGTGCTTTGCGATTTTTTTGAGGGCAATTGGGAGGAGAATCGTGAGACCTCTGAGCTCCACTCAAAGATATTTTAAGACTACAGAGCCCCCACGAGGACAGGATGACCGCGCAAGCTAACCGCGAACGGCGAAAGGAGAATGCTTGCTTATTTCGTGGGATGTTAGGATTCCCTTCATAGCGAAAGTTATGTCTCTGCCATCGCATGCTGTGTGACAGTCCTTTTGAATTACGGCGTAATTGAAGCTGAGATTTACAATACTTGATTGGTTCGAGGGACCAAATTTGATGGAGAATGTTTGCTCCTCACATTATATTGTTATCCAGAAAGAAACGTTTGTTTGGCATGAAATGTGGGTTTGCGCGCCTGGGATACGGGCAGTAGGAACGGTTTTGCGTAATCGATCCGCCGCCCGCGGCTGTCGCGGACCGTTTGCCTCGTTATACCAGTTCTAGCGTTCTTCATACAGCTCAATTGCTATGCGACTATTACTTTTGGCATGATTCTACTGTTAGTTCTTTTGTTCCTGAATTTCTTACTTGCTGCTGCATTCTGCTAAATACCTTCCCGCGCGACGTCTCTCAAGCCATGACGCCACGATTTCGTTCCTACTGCATTACACCCTGCGCCTTATGTGCAATCGTAGCAACCTAATAGTTTTCCAAATTGGATAATGCATGGTTGTTCAACAACATACTCACTGCTGTTGATCAACGCGTTAGAACGAAGTGGTAGGGTGACTTCACCTTCTGTAGAGGATAAGATTAGCTGCTTATCCTTTACTTTGATTTCCTCTGTTGGAGTGAGAATAGGGCCAGTGTTAACCAATCTTGAATTTATATGGGTTATCGATTCTACGGGACAACTGCGGCCGGCTTCCGACCACATTGTAGCAAGTGCATTCAAAGTGAGAGGTGCAATTGCCGTAGTGCTTTGCTGCTGCTTGTTCAGTTGCGCATTCAACCGGAATTCTGTAGTTTCCAGGTATTATGACTGCGTCCTTGGAACTTATTGCGAATCTTCGATTCATCATAGGTAATACGGGCTTTGAATAGAGATATGGGTCATTTTCAAGTTACCCGCTATTTGTTCCACGTAAGTTTCGATAGCGTGCAGGCTTCCTTTTTTCAGTATTGAACAGTGTTGTGTGTGCTTCCACCGTAATCACTGGTTTCCAATCCAAGCAACCTATTACCTCGTAGACTAGCTCTGACTTGGACTCATGTACGAATCTGTGAAACGAGCCCGAGGTAGAGGCAATAAATAGCCACACGCAATTCCTCCGCATGAAGTAGTGCAAGTAGAGTATCCTGGTATATTGCTGTCCCGTTTAATTCTGAGATCACTTCGTTCCTTCGGATTTCTCTGCATTTTCCGTCACTGCACGACCCAATTCGGGGGGATCGTAGAGATTAGTGTACTTTGGGTAACGATTCTCTTGTGAAAAACACGATAATTTTGTTCACGTAAGTTCCATCGGGTGGTGTTGAAGCTTCACTAACTCAACGATCTTGTTGTTATGGTCAATTTTAAAACTAAAGTTCATAATGATTAAAGTTGATTTCCTCGCTGTACTCGTACCCGCAACCATCTCGTTACGTGCAGAAGAGGTATACTGTATGACGCATGTAGCCATGTTGACAGGCCGATAAGGTCTGTAGCGAGGCCATGGTGCAGCACACCGTAAACGTAGCTGATGTTCCCAACGGTGTAGGGTTGAACGAGTGCAGGGGTATACTCCTCAATTCATTGAGCGTAGCCGGTCGGTTCTTTCGAAGGGCTGTGATAAGCTTATCTTGCTGCAAGTGGTCGTGGTGGCCAGTAGTATGACTATTAGCCATAGGTAAAAAATTATGAAAGCTGATATAATGGCACCTTCTGGCCAACAGTGTGGGTTCTCCAGTAAGCTTTTTGAAAGAAAGACGGGCACACTTTCGATTCGGCAAGCACTCTATCTCCTGTTAATACCTTTAATTTTATTGTTGTGTTCTTTTCTAGAGGAGATACAGGTGAATAGATCATGATTTTTTCCATTCGGCTTGAATATACTGTACAACCGTTATCGAGACAAACTTCAAATAGTTCTCGGCTATGCGGAGGTGTAATTCTTATGGTGCCGCTATTGCATTGAATATATCCTTCAGCGTGCACGTGTGCAAGTTGTCGTCGTTGACGACCCCCTTCCATTGCGTAAGCGCCTTGCCCCCCGCTATCAAGTGGGGCGGGGCGCGGTGAGGGTCAGGCTTGTACTGGCTCCGTTAATTCTAATATACTTACTTTGTCAAGCGTTGGGATCGGCCAGCCCGCCCACGCTCTCATCTCGCTCGTATCTCACTCTTAATAAATTCTGAACCACCTTTGCCTTAACTGTTTCAAAAGGGTTAATCACCCAGTCTTCCGCACCCATCCTGGTTATCTGGTGCATCGGCCTAACAGCCAAATTTCCTGCGTCAAAGAGTAACATCTTTGGGGCCTGGAACGAAGACAGCTCCTATCACGAGCACATCTATACGGTCCTTTTCAAGACCGCGAATCTTAACTGATTCATCCCATATCAGGGAAACTTTTCTCCCGTACCACATACGTACCTGGAGACCTCTTCTGTTGTACCAAACACAGAACTTGCTAAACCTACACCGGAAGTCTCGTACAGAATGTCGTTGCACTTCCACAAAATTCCGATTATGAACAGCGCAAAGACGCTTAAAAATCTGGTCTCCAGATACGCAGAGTACACAAGAAAAATAGAATATCCTACAGTAGATGAGGATAGCTATGAAATGTGTAACGAAACCATATCACTACTACAAAGTGGTATTAAGCAAATCAAAGAGGGGAGAGAGAACCTCGTAAAACTCTATGAGGAAATAAGAGAAGAGTATAGACATTGCAAAAACAAGTCAGACAAGAAGGACTTATTGCTGGAAATTGAGCAAATTGAAAACGAGTCTCAATTACACAAAGAATTGGCTAGTGCAGATGAGCTTATCTTCATGCTAACTGCACGACACGATGAATCTAAGTACATGAGGAATAAAATGAGCGTAAAACTCGGCTTCATTTCCCAGAAATCCTTACTACTTCAGGACGTCACAAATGATAGTCCAGCACAGGGAATTGATCCCGAACAGGATCACATCCTAACTGAAGAAACCCAAAGTAGCGAGAGCAACCATTCTCAAGCTACGCCAAGTTCGGCAGTAGATAGAGCGGAGATTACTGTAGGAGCATTTCGATCCATAAAGCCTCCCCAAGCTTCACTACCCAAATTTCATGGCAATAGCGAGGACTTCCCAGAATATTGGGCGATTTTCGAAACGCTCGTACATAACAGCCGTGAACTAGACGTTATGGAAAAGATTTTGCTACTCAAGGAAAGTCTTAGAGGCAGAGCCGAAGCCTCAATAAAAGGAATACAACTCGTACCACAAAACTACGAGTGGATTATCCAAACTTTAAAGGAGAACTACTGCAACCAGCCTGCAAATAGGTCCCAGGTGGTGCGAAAACTGGCCAACTTGAAGCCAGCAAGCGATTCCGCCGGCAGTTGCTTAGCCGTGTTCGACCAAATCCAGATATTAATTAACCAGATGGTGTCTGCCGGCTATGACGTGCGCAAAACCTGTGACCCCATGTGGTATGACACAATAGTGGCAAAGTTTCCACGCAACATAGTGAAACATGTCCTACTTTCGAATCCTACGCAAGATGGACAAACAATCGAAAACCTCATGGGTCAACTGAAGAAAGAGATTACCGCTAAAGGCTTCGTGGAGAGCAGATTAGGCCCCAAGCCTGACATCAAGGGCACCGCTCCGAAGGATAAGTACTCGGATAGTCCTTACCCGAGCGACCAATGTCTGTTCTGTCATAAGGGTAATCATGCCTCGTTAACATGCAGAACGGTAACCGATCAAGGGAACCGCAGAAAAATACTGACAGACGGTCGCAGATGTTGGAAGTGTTGCTCTTCCAATCACAGCAGTTTCGACTGCCAAAAACCAGATTGTTCCAAATGCGGACAAAAGCACCACTCGAGCCTATGCTTCAAAAAAGAAGGTGCGCAGAACAGAAATCAATTGCCTCGGAACAACAACACTAGAAATACTACCGGTCACAACAATTCAAGATCGGGCCAATTTCAACGCGATCAAACAAACTTCGCGAATCAAGGTGAACCGAGAAGAGCAAATCCGAATAACGTACAAATGTGTTCCAAAAGCGCTTTAACTTCGGAACAGAATTCAACCCCTTCACAACTCGTCCTAATGACTGCAGAGGGTAACGTTTGGAATCACAACAAAGGGGAATACGAAAAAGTTCTTTTCTTCTTCGATTCCGGCGCTCAAAAAACTGTTATCGAGGAGTCACTCGCAGACAGCTTAGGCGTGCCAAAGGAAACCACTGAAATCTGCACAATGTCAGGAATAGGAGGCCACATTGAGTCCTTCAAAAGCCACATTGTAAAGATAAAAATAAGCTCAGTGTACGGTGAAGAGCTCGAGCTGAAAATTCAGACAAAACCAGTTATCACCAATGGTTTCCCGAGCGTCAACCTAAGCTCTGTCGACGTCGCATTCCTGAAAACGAATAGTATCTGCCTGTCTAACTCGAAACTTCGTGGTGAACGGCAGAAACCACATATCCTAGTGGGATTAGATCACTACCATGAGCTGGTGACAGGTCCAATCAGTGTCGTGAAAACTCCCACTGGTCTCCATATAGCAAAAACCGTGTTCGGACCTACAATTTACGGTAAACAGAGGCCATGAATCCTACTGTATCTTATGGGATGACCTCTATTCAGGAAAACACTGAACAGGAAATCCTCCAAAAACTGTTTGAATTGGACGGGCTGGGAATTATGCCTGATGAGTGTCAAAGAAATGAAAAAACGCTAGAATACCTAGCAAAATACTCGAAAAAGGTATCTTTCTCGGGCGGATTCATTACCGCACCATTTCCTCTGAAAGACAATGTTTCTCAGCTAGAAGATAATTACGGCGTGGCCATACGCCGTCTTGAGTCACTGCAAGTGGCACTACAAAGAAATCCAGAGCAGTGCCGTTGGTACATAGATATATTAAAGAGATACGAAAAAGAGGGTATGATTGAAACCTTCTCTACCCAGTGTGAAGAGTCAGCCGGCGTTTACTACATGCCTCATGCAGGGGTGTGGAAACCCAGCAAAAAGGTTCCTTTGAGAATAGTTTTCGACGCTTCTTCAAAAAGGAAAGGAAAACTGTCTCTAAATGACGTCATCGAAAAAGGTGAATCGTTCATCAATAAGATTCACGACATACTTCTATCGTCGAGAGCGACCAAAATCGTACTTATGTGCGATATTGAGGCAGCGTTTACCCAAATCCGACTCGTCGATCATCATAAGGACCTGTGCAGGTTCCTGTGGTTGAAAAACATCAACCACCCTCCAACAAAAGGCAATATAATCTACTACCGATTTCGAAGACTCCCCTTTGGAGTAACAGCGTCTCCAAGTATACTGAATATGGCGCTAATAACTTACTTGAACAGCCAAAATTCAGACCTGGCCAAGGAAATCTCACAGAACTTATACGTAGACAATATCTTAATGTCAGCCGAAAGTTCGCATGAGGCTCTCCGAAAATATCGAGAATCGAAGCTCATGTTCGCAAAGATAGGAATGAATTTGCGAGAATACATATCTAATTCAACTGAGGTAAATAATCTGATACCTGCAGAAGATAGACTCGAATCTGGTCCTATGAAATTGCTTGGAGTCAATTATAACACCGAGATGGACTCATTCAATTTATCTACTTGGTTCCCAACAATGAGTACCTTAACAAAGAAGGATATTGTGAGCCAAATAAATTCAGTTTACGACCCTATTGGTCTGGCTGGACCACTACTAGTTCGGCTCAAATCAATAATGCGGGAAGTATTCGAACTAAAGACTGACTGGAAAACAGTTCTCACCCCAAATATTTGCGAGAGGTGGAATAAATTATCTTCAGAGGTCAACAACGCCTCCATATCTGTGCCTCGCACATTACCTAATAACCTCTGGGGTGACGAAAAGCGCCTATGGATATTCGCCGACGCAAGCAACGCAGCAATCGCTGCCTGCGCTTATCTACAAGGTCAAACAACAAACCTCGTGTCACCACTAATCTGTGGCAAGACAAAACTGACTCCAAAAAAGACACGCCAAACCATACTTAGGTTAGAGCTCGTCGGAATTCTTATGGCAATCCGGCTAGGTCAGTCCATACTGTCTGCAATGAACACGCAAAAAAAGCGTGTTTCAATCGTTTCGGATAGTGAGATAGCACTCTATTGGCTTAAAACAGCAAAAAGAGTGCCTATATTCGTATCAAACCAAAAAGATCGAATATGGAAAATCAAGGACCAAATTCAAGAAAAAGGCGTTGTCGTGTCCTTTTTACATGTTACAACGTGTCATAACCCGGCTGACGCCGGTACAAGAGGGCTAACAGCTCAGCAATCAGCAGCCATGATTGGGTGAAAGGCCCGCGTTGGCTAGAAAAAAGTGCCGAAACATGGCCTCTGCGTCCAATGGATGCTATAGAAGATGTTTCTGAGGAACAGGAGCATCCAAAATTAGCTCCAGCAGTACACATCCAAGCGGCCATTGAAGATAAAGGCCTCGAAAAAATCATCGATTTATCAAGATTTTCACACTTAAACAAGGCAATAAGAACATTGTCCATTATCGGAAAAACCATCCAAAACTGGGTGGGAGTCACGAACAGAAACAAGGGCACAACTATTCACCTAAAGGTCATCTCAGAATACGAAACATGTTCAGAGGTATCCTCCACGGATTTCAAGATTT